GGGAGGGGGGTGAGTGGGAGAATAATATTGCGTTGTTGCTCTTATGGGCGGAGTGCGTTTGTTGTTGTAGTGGATGAGCGCCTTGCCTCTTGCCACGTGCGTCTGGTCCACTCGAGCGCGAGAGCTCTTTGCTGTTTTCACCGTCAGGGTAAGTGCTGGGCCCTACGGTCATGGTGAAGTGAAGGATGGCCTCGGACTCGCTGACCCGCGGCGCCAATGCAAACCATCGGCTCTTGTGATCGCTCGCCCGAGCTCCGGAGAGATTGTTTGGAAATTGGATTCGTCGATTAGGGGTGGCCTGGAAGATATCTGATGTTCTCCATTGGCGTGAGCGAGAGAAGGAACGAATGGACTGTGGGAAAAAAAGGGAGGGGGGGATGTAGAGTCTGGATGTACATGTATCTTTGTTTGAACTTGAAAGTGGCAAGTATGTGCTTACTTATATAGGGTGAGGGCCCGGGAGGGGGGCAGTGGTACAAAAATAGGTATACAGGAAGTATCACATCATTGTTATAAAACTTTATGCATTAAAATAGTTAGTGCTCTAAATTAGTTGCAAAAATATGATTAATGACACTAAAATACATGTATACCGAAAGAGACCAACTAATTTCACGTGCTTATAGTTTTAATGAATTAAGTAATATAAAAATGTTGTGATACTTACTGTATACCCATTTTTGCACCTCGGTAGCCTATATATTTATAGATCTGTATGCTTAGCCCATTGGCTTAGCTTGCAAGGGACTAGTGAGTGTGTTCACAGACAAATGCAGACAGTTTGAAGCGGGTTTTGAAGTTGATTTTGGAAGCGAATGTGTTTGAAGAATTGAATGATATGTTGAGTGAAAAGAAAGTAAACACAAAGTGGAGACTGGCTGTCCCTGCGGCTAGTTGTATTTGAGAGATTGAGTATATTTGCCTCTTTCTGTGTGTTTGGTTGTATTGTAGATAAAATGGAGAAAGTGTGAAAGCAATATCTGTAGATGGAGATATTGATAAGAATACGAATGGAGGGACAACAAAGACAAGTAATGAGGGAGGAAGAAAGGGGGAAGAAATAATAAATAGATAAAAATAGTGAGTTAGAAAGGAAGAAGGGTAGGG